CTGCCAGACCTGCTGAGTTTTTCCAGCAATTTCTGTTTTTGTTTCTGATTTCCAACAACCGCAGTTCTTTTGATTTTTTTTTTGATTTTGCGTAGCAGGGCAGCTCAGTCCAAGCAATTGATATATCATGAACCATGGAGAATTCCTTGTTTAATGTGTGTGGGAAGTGTTGTCAGCGGGAGGAGCTCAAGCTCGAGGTTTCAGAGGTTAAGCATTTGCTGTGTTTATTGGTCTGTCGCTGAGGTGACCACCCCTACCCTACAGCTGAAGACAGAGGAGGGATTAATTTTTAATTGAGATATATAAAAGTATAGCACCCTAATTCTCTTTCACAGAACGGTTATAATCAAAGCACAGGGTTCTAAATTTAAAGGAAGATGGAGAGAATATTTTTTCACTGAGGGTTGTGGGACTCCGGAATTTATTGATTGAAAAGGTTGGTAGAGGCAGAAATCCTCTCACGTTTAAGAAACACTTTGAGAAGTACGAAATGTGGCATAGCTTATAAGAGTACAGACCAAGAGCTGGAAAGTGTAATTAGGCCGGATAGCTCAATTTCAGCCAGCAGATGTAATGAACCAAATGGCCTGTTTTGTGCCCTAAATTTCCCATGTTTCTGTGGTCACCATAAGCAACATTTAAAATGCAGGCTGCAGGAAGTTTTCTTTTGATTTCTTGGTCAGGTTTCATGTTGGTCACAGTTCTCTGATCAAGGCACAATAATAGATGCCTTGGAATTATACAATAACTTTTTTTTATATACTGCATGAGTTCAAATGCACCATTCTTAAACTAGACATTTTTACAATTTTTACGACACATGTAATAATGCAAAATGCTGCATGACAGAGACCAGATGGAAAATTGGTTCAGACCGTGGTGTTATTAGACTTTCTGACTGTGGAATGGATGAAGTGGACTCATTCATGGATTTGTTGCAGGTATTTGGGAAATGACAGCCTCTGTTGCAACTGACATCTGTTGTATCTCTCCCCATTGATATCATGTGAATACTTTACCTAATATTCATAATGTTATCACATGGTGAGCAGAACAAGGGTAAATTGTCCATTTGTGTTCCTTTTCTCCCTCTCCCCTTAAATGTACAATTTGTGCCTCAGCATTTACTTACTCTTGCATATGTTTCATTTTCCATGACTCAAAAAAAATTAATGTTTTGACTTTCAATTGGTAAAATCTCATTGCTTACTTATTTTGTATATCTCGACTGCTACATTAGCAGCAGAAAATCAGTACAAGGTCTACAAAACAACCATATCCATTCTAAAGCATCAAAGTTCATTTCCAATCACAAATTCCTCCTGTTAATAAAAACTTTACTTCGTATGAAACAATGCCGATCATACAAAATCTGGTCAATACTTATTCCATTACCTCAGCCCCAAAATTGAGTGAGTCTGATGGTAATTTGAAGTGGTATTCACTTAATAGAAATGCACACAAACTATAATAGGGAATGTACAATATTTTGCTGTAGTCATGTTATTAGCAGTCACACCAATGGCTTCAATCCTTGTGTGTTATAGGAGAAATGAAACATGTAATAAACAAACCATAACCCACTTTTTTCTGGGATGCTTCCTTAATATTTCCACGTGTTCAGTGCCAAGCTTACCTAGGACAGGTACAATACCCCAAATCCAGCTGTCCATAAACCAGAATTGTCCAATAACTGGACAGCACGGTGGCTCAATGGCTGGCATTGGTGTCTCACAGCGCCTGGGACTCTCGTTCATTTCCACATTCAGGCAACTGTCTGTGTGGAGTTTGCAAGTTCTTCCCGTGTCTGCATCGGTTTCCCTCCCATGGTCCAAAGATGTGCAGGATAGGTGGATTAACCTTGGGAAATGAAGGGTTACAGGGATAGAGAAGTGGAGGTGGGTCTAGGTGGGATACTCTTTGGAGGGTTGGTATGGACTGGATGGGCTGAATGGCCTGCTTCCACACTGTAGAGACTCTATTCTATAACTTCTTCCCCTTGTGCGTCACTCAATATTTACAGCATTTATGATTTGCCCTGTCTGTATGTGTTCATCATTTACATTTAGCATTGGTCCTTGGTTGCACTTTTCATGATCCAATGTAGTCACGGAGTGGTGGATTGCACCTTTCGCTGAAAATGCGTGATTGTGTATAGACCTGGAATCTATTGTGGATTTGCACGCATTGGGTAATCCAAAATCTCAGAAAGTCCGAAATCCGGCACAGTATCAATGCTGAGGGGTGTCGGATTTGAGACAGTGTACCTGTAGATTGTGTAGACACCCAATAAAAATGGTACTTTTGTAAGTGCTGCAGGCTGAAAATGTAATTTCTTCATTCATGAAGCAAGGCAAAGTAGAAAGCAGTCTGTGCATCACTCTTCAGTTTGGTATTCCTTCATATATAATGGAAGACAACTGCAGACATAATGACTGAAGTAAAAGCCTGATTGGCAGTGCTTCGCTTGAGTTCTGCAAGGCAACCTGTAGCACCTTTGATTTGCGGAGGGAAGGAAAAATAAAACAAAATTACACTTTTTGCACAGGACAAGATCATGTTCTTAAAGCCAATTTCTGGAATTAAAACTATTGGGATCAAACACTTTAGCCTCAATTTCAATCTGTTCATTTTTCTTTAAAATATAAATTATATACATGACTTGATTCTACCTGGATTATTCCCTTTTGCTGTCTCCATCATTATTTGCAGGCTATATCACCTATCCCTCATAATTAGAATCTAAGGTTTCATTAGAATTATTGTCCATATTTTCTTTTGTGCAAGATTCTTCATTGATTACAAAAATGCAGCTCTACCCTGGTGTAACTTGTAAACATGTCATCACTAGTATTTATTGTCTGTCTGACTGAACTTATGGTTGTGCAACCCTTATAAGAATAAAGCTGACTGATCGGATTCTATGCTGGAGTAGTCTTGTATCTTTACAGCTAAGTGATCTGGAGTACCCAGATCTGGGTGAATGTATTAATGGAAAAATCTGTAAATACATCAATGCAAATCAGCTGTTGTTCTAGTGCCACGCTTTGGAAATTTAGATGCTTAAATGCATCATGTGGAAGTATTTACAGGTGCCTAGCACTTCTGTTAGGGCACCTTCATGACAGTGGCTGGTCTAGGGCAGAGCATCAGGTAGACAATGACAATTAACCCTGGGTCTACACTGGAGAAACTTGCAGTTGATATAATGTGTAACATAACTTGTCTTTTTACACTGTAAACTGTTCAGGAAAGTTAGGGAGATGATGTAATTAAATACATTACATCAAAATTACCTTCACTAACGAATGATCATCAGAAATCTTAAAATATGACTGACTGATTCAATGGTGGTTATAGGGGAGGGAGGCTGATTTAGTGTGATTAACATATCTTAAAATGCTATTAATTGAAGCTTGCTCTTCAGAGTTAATTTCATAGGATTTGGGGTGGTGAGATATGGATTTGGGTGAGGTGATTAAACCAAATGACTTACGTTAGTTTGGACATTTCAGTGAATGTTTACACTTATAACAAATGCTTCTGTTGGTAACACTGGTGTCTCAGAGCCAAACAATGATGAATCAAAGTTCCAGAAAAGGACATGAACACAAATCAAGGCCAACACTCCAGTGCAGTACTGGGTGAGTGTGTGCCAACTTTCAAAGGAGGCATAAACTGAGACTCCACCTGCCCTCTCAATGGAAATAAAGATCCTATGACACTATTTCAAACAAGCACAGAAGAGCTTGAAGATAGTAAGAACTGCCGATGCTGGAGTCAGACACAACAAAGTGTGCAGGAACGCAGCAGGCCAGGCAGCATCAAAGGAGCAGGTAAGTTGACGTTTCGGGTCAGGACCCTTCTTCAGAAATGAAGAAGAGCTCCCCCTGTTATTCTGCTTAGTATTTCTCCCTGAATCAACATCAGAAAATCAGATGACCTGGTTGTCATCACATTGCTGTTTGTGAAAGCTTGCTGTGCCCAAATTAGCTGCTGCATTGCCTACATTATTTTCACATTCACAATAAAGTTGATAAATTAACAGCATAAATAGTTGTAAATGAGTTGACTCTAGGCCTCCAAACTGTAGTGGTGAGGTAGGAGTGGCATTGAGCCGGAAATTAGAGATGTAGCCAATAACGTGCTACAGTCATCGTAGTGATTTTATAGTTTGGGTAAACCACATTAATGATAATACTGGCATTTAGTTACATAAAATGAGATGGAGTTTATTAATAGTCTTTTCAGAAATCCTTTAGGAAGAAGTGACATTAACATGATAGAATTCCTTATTGGATAGAAAGTGAAATAGTGCATTCCCAAACCAATGTCCTAAATCCAAACAGGAATTTACAAAGGTATGAGGTGTAGATTGGCTGCAATGTACTGGGTAATTTAGTTGAAAAGCGTCAGTGGAAAAACAATGGTTAATTGTTAAAGAACAAATGCACATATTACAGCAGTTATACATTCCTAGGTATTCTACATGCCAGAATACTAAAGCAGTGGCCAAGGAAATAGTGGATACATTGGTTGTCATCTTCCAGAATTTGGTAAATTTTGGAACAGGCCAAGAAAGATTGGGAACTGGCATATGTCACCCCACTGTATAAAAAGTGGGGGGAGGGTAAGAGAAAACAAGACTTGTTAGCCTAACATCAGTAGTAGAAAATGTTGGAATCTGTTATAAAGGATGTGACAAAAGTAGTCTTAAAGTACCAACAGTAGTACGGAAAGTCAACATGATTTTATGAAAGGGAAATCGTGTTTGACGAACATACTGGAGTTTTTTTGAGAACATAACTGGTAGAACAGATGAAGAAAGACCATTGGATGTGGTGTAGTTAGATCTTCAGAATGCTTTTGATGAAGTTCCACATATGTCTGTTTTTCTAATCAACCTGTTCAGAAATATCATTACACACCTCTAGAGCAGGTAGGACTTGAACTTAGACTTCCTGGTCCAGGGTAGGGACACTACCACTGTGCTACAAAGCCTTCTCTTGAAGTTCCACATATGACATTAGTGTGCAAAGTCAAAACACATGAACTGATGGTAACATAGTGACACAAATTCAGACAGGAAAGACAGAGTAAGAATAAATGGGTTGCTTTCAGAGTGTAAGGTGGTGACAAGTGGACTACTGCAGGGGTGAGTGCTTGGGCCCAGAAATACACAATATATATCCATGATTTGGATGAGTAATCAAAAGTATAATATTTCCAAGTTTGCTGCTGACAAAAAAAATGGTGTGAATGTGAGTAGTGAGGAGATCATAGAGAAGCTTCATGTCAATTTAGACAAGTAGAGAAAGTAAGCAAACATATGGCAGGTGCAGAATAATGTGGATCACTGGACTCAAAACGTGAACTCTACTTTGTTCCCACAGACACTGCCAGACCTGCTGAGTTTCATCTGCAACTTCTGTTTTTGTTTCAGATCTCCAGCATCTGCAGTGTATTGTTTTATTCATAGGTGTAGCAAGTAGTTGGGAAGGCAAATGGTATGTTGGGTTTCAGTAGAGGAACAGGGAAGATCTATGGTGACCATACAGGGCCTTGATAAGAGTACTGTGTGCAGTTTTGGTCTGGCTACCAACAAATTGAAAAACTTGCCACAGATGAAGTGCAGGGAAGGTTTAAAGACTGATTCCTGTGATGGCAAGTTTGTTGTAAAAGGAAAAATTAGGCAAATCAGACTTTTATTAACTGCATTTAGAAGAATGAGAGGGGGTGTTATTGAAATACGTAAAATTCTGAGAGGGCTGAGCAGACTGAATGCAGAAATGATATTTCTCCTGACTGGGGTGGGATCCAGAATAACGGTTCACAGTCTCAGGATATGGGGTAGGCCATTTTGGACTGAGATGAGGAAAGATTTCTTCACAAAGAAGGTGGTGAATCTATGGAATTCTCAACCATTGACAGCTATGGAGGCCAAGTTAATGAATATATTTAAGAAAGAAATAGACAGCTTTCCTGAAGCTAAAGGTATCATGTGGTATGGGATGGGAATGGCAATATGGCATTGAGATAGAAGATCAGCCATGATCACACTGAATGGCAGAGCAGGTTCAATAGGCCAAGTGACCTATTCCTGCTCCTATTTTCTATGTTTGAATGTTTCTTTTATTGTTCCTGGCTGTAACATGCTTCGAGATGTCCAGTGTCATAGAGTCATAAAGATATACAGCACGGGAACAGACCCTTTGGTCCAGCATGACCATGTCAACCAGATATCCTAAATAAATCTAGTCCCATTTGCCAGCGTTTGGCCCATATCCCTCTTAAACCCTTCCTATTCGTACACCCATCCCGATGGCTTTTAAATATTGTAATTGTACCAGCCTCCACCACTTCCTCCAGCAGCTTATTCCATACATGCACCACCCTCTGCGTGAAGAAGTTGCTCCTTAGGTCCCTTTGAAATCTTTCCCCTCTCACTTTAAACTTATGCCCTCTACTTTTGGACTCCCCCACCCAGGGGAAAAGTCCTTATCTCTTTACCATATTCATACCCCTCATGATTTTATAAACCTCTATAAGGTCACCCCTCAGCCTTTGACATTCCAGGGAATACAGCCCCAGTCTATTCAGCCTGTCCCTGTAGCTCAAACCTTTCAACTGTGTGTATGTTGACTGGCATATGTTGTTTAAAACTACCAGTTTAGGCTATTTTATACCTAGATTTTGAGCAGTACTCATCAATTCTACAACGTAAGAGATGTGGGCTTCACTTATAATGGTGACTGGTGCTTCTGAAATCAAAGAAGATATCAGCACCACCTTTGAAATTTGTAAAACAGTGATACCCATAATGCATTCACTTAGAGAATTATGAGGCCTGTAGTGGGGAAGCAAAATACATTTTTAAACTATGATGATTATTTTGGTAATTAAGTTGAAATGAAAAATTATCATTCAGCCTATAAATTTGCTTCATTCAGCCTTCTCATGCACCATTAACTGTTGCTTTCTCCCTCACTATATTAAACACTATATAAGCTAACACGCTTGTATCTCTGTGAAACTCTGTGCTACACCCCCATCCCACCCCATCGATTCTTCTTTGTTAGACAAATCCAATTAGCTCCTGCATAAATATGTCAGTTGACCGAAAATTCATCGCTTTCCTTGTTACGTAAATGTTACATTCCAACCAAGTAATACAGATGAGAACCAATGTGATAATGAAGAAATTGTTTGTTAAAATGTGAATACCTGCATGTCTGGGGATCAAACTTCTTCCCTTTGCGAAAGCACGAATACACGGACTCTTTGCACTCGCAGGTGCATTTGCTGCTGTTCAACGGCTGATTCTTTGGGCAGTTCTTCCTACATGCACACTCACAGACTTCTTCATCCCATTTCTTTGGGGGTTCACAAACGCCATGATGCTCTGTGTTACTGCAAACACATTTGCAAGTACTCTCGTCAAATTCTTTGTTGGGACCACAACTCGATATGGAAAGTCTGTTTGTGCACACGCAGCTACATGTGTCTTCATCGAATACCATGTTGGGCCCACAGAAATCATCCGCCTCACTTCCACTATCATCTGCTGAGTATGGAGAAGAAATGTCAGCAATATCCAATATTATGGCAGTCACTGGTATAAATAGTTTTATTCCCTTTTTCCTCCAATTCAATGTTAGTTTTATTCTCTCTCAATTTCTGAACAATCTGGAGGGCTGACAATAATCTACCCCCAGATTTCTACAAAGATTCTATTTCAGCTGATAAGTGTGTGTACTCTAGTTATTTTCTTGTCCTCTAACTTCTATTTAGTGATTCTGCCTTTTGGAATGTGCAAGTTTGAGAACTGATAATAATGCAGTCACATTCACTCATCATTTACTCCATTAGACAACACTTCACACACAGTTTTACATATTAAGCCTAATTAACAGGATTCAAGAGGAAAATACTCTGCTAGTTTCTTTCCTGTCCTCTTTTTGCACCAGGCCTACATAATGTCTCCTTCACTTAATCATACAAATTGTAGAAGTGTGAGGAAAATAGTGTAGATATTACAATGGATTTTCTTACTCATTGTTTAATTTTAAAATAACTCTAACCTTATCACTGCAGCTATATCAAGGCTGTAGCATAAATTGCAAAGATACTTGAAGCTTTTCAATATTCTGATTAAGAAATATTTTACAATTTAAAATAATAATACTTGTAATGACTGCCATAAACTATATTCTGCTGATATGAAGTTTTGATCTAATTATTGGTGTGGTTTTGCTAACCAGGTAATACTGCACTAATCCATTTATTTCATTGACGCCTATCTTCATTCAATTTTGGGAGAGTAATGTCAATGTGTTGTTCTCCTGTTTTGACAAAACCTGCGCAATATGCAAACAGGTTCCACTTTTTTACAACTGCTTAAATCGACACGGCTGACTCCATGGGTACAATAACTGTGAAGGGTCTGCAGAATAAGCGTTTGCACACTAACACATTACCCACTTCTCCTTTCCTTAAAGTATACTTGGTTTATCGGGTAGTATCCCCACCTTTATATTAACAAAGCTTACACGCTCTTCTCTGAAGAACATTTTCATCTCCCATTTTAATAGATCGGTAATATAATGGACTTAACTATGCTGTGGAACACTATTAGCAGAGTGAGCTCAGATCTTGCTCTCTTGGCTACACCCTAACAATCAAAAGTCTCCTTACAAATGTTTTCCAAGTAAAGGTTTACCAATAATTTGAAGAGGTGAAAAGCAAATTGATAACCTGGTTCTGAATTGCTGGCTTCTAAGCTGAAGTCTTCCAGTTCGGTGACACATCTGCAGTACTGGGGATTCCAGGTGAGACCAAGTGGACACGTTTTGTTCTCCATAATGCATCTATGGAGAGAAATGTTTGAAAACTAACTGTCAGGTCCATCTAATAAGCGTCTGAACTCAGCTATTTTTATCAGCTGTTGGAGCTTACAGCTGCAGTATGGATTCCCAAGCACAGGCAGAGAACTTACTCACTAAGCTCTAAGCATCTTCTGGCCACTTCATTTGCCCAGCTACCTTTTCAAGCATGCTTCAACTTCATTCTGAATAAATTTAGGTGCTAAATGCAGATTTTTAGTTAAAGCAAAGCCCTCCTTAGAACCAGAGTCACCTTCCAAGCTGCGACACTTCCTTCTTTCTTTGCTGAGGTTCTTCTCTGATGAAGACATGTTGTATAATTTCCCTATGTCTTTGGAGTTTTTGGGCTTTTTTTTTAAATTCCATCTCTGTTTCCATTACAATGCTTTTTATTTCTCTCCTTTCTTTCCAATTCAAATTGTCTTATTGGCAGGAGCAAAATTCCTCCAGATGTTGGAATCTGTACTGAAAACAATGCTGGAAATCACAGTGAGTCAGACAACGTCCATGGAGAGAGAGCAAGCTAATGTTCTGAGTTCTGATGAACTAGATCTAGACTCGAAATTTTAACTTGCTCTCTCTTCATGGATGCTGCCTGATCCACTGTGATTTCCAGCATGTTTTGATTTCAGTTTGACTTATTCGCAATTCTCTCTTCCCTTATTTCTCCTCCCTGTTCTTTTTCTCTACTTTACTTCTAGTTTAAGTCTTTCCATTTTTATCTCCGAGTCAGTTTATTTTTCATTACCACCTATCTTATCTAATTCCAGCTGTGACATGTCAATTTCAAGTTTCTCTTGTCCTGATTCTAAATGTTGGGAAATCACTTCAAGCATCTAATCCTTATGAGATCCTGCTTTTTTGTCTACCTTCAATTTGTCTGCTAACTCTCTCCGTTTAGCCTCATTCAAAGTTTGCAAACAATTTACTGTCCTGACTTCAAATCCCAGAAAATCCTTAGCACCAATCAAAGCCGTTTTTCAAAATCCAACCAATGCCATAAAGTTCACTATACACTATTGTTCTATGCTTAGAATCCTCATGTACCAGTTTCTTTAAAAGCAAGACAAATCCTTCTTAAACTTAATGAATTCAAATTTCAGTGAAGAGCCTCACATATTCCTGAACCACTCAGTTCCCAGAATGAAACCTGGCTTGATTCATCATATTTCTGAAGAAGGGTCTAGACCTGAAATGTCAGCCTTCCTGCTCCTCCGATGCTGCTTGGCCTGCTGTGTTCATCCAGCTCTACACCTTGTTATCCCTTGATTCATCATATGTTGAGTTTTGTCCTTGTTTAGTAAGTTACTTGGTGGTTAATCGCCAAAACATATTCATACATGGCTGTAGATATTCTTTAATAATGGAACGGAAGTTCATCACACAAAATAAATGTGAAAGACAGCTAGCAAGCTCTAAAACACATAGCAAAACAAAGTTTCAATGTGCTTCCCAAGACTATTACAGAGACTCAAGTCCAGAGAGATTACACATCTTATATGAACCCTTTAAGGTTCTGCTTAACTGAGTCCTGGCAATTTATTGGCCTTCAGCTGTGAAGCCAATTCAATGAGATCTTTTCAAATATGCCAACGTGATCTTTTCCACAAATATAGGCACCTAAACTTTCTCACTTCTAACAACCTGCATACTTCTAACTAAAATATCTTGCTTTAGAAATCTCACAAATTAGATGCTTACGCTAAAGGAACAAAAACATAATTTACTGGAGAAACTTAGAGGTCTGGCTCATCTGTGTAGAGATAAATAGAGTTCATGTTTCAGGTCCAGTGACCCTTCTTCAGAACTGGGGGCTGAAGAAAGATCACTAGATCCAAAATATTAACTCTGTTTATTTCTCTACAGGGGCTGCCAGACCTGCTGAATTTCTCTGGAAAATTCTGTTTTGTTTCAGATTTCCAGCATTTGTAGTTCTTTACTTTTTGCTTATGCTAGGTACGATTCCCTGAAAAGCTGCTTCTAGGACAGAAACTCAACACTGGTGTTTTCTAAATTGATTTGTTTTGTTAAAAAGCTTCACCTTAGATTCTTCTGAACTGAAATCAAAGCTAATGGCCTTACATGTTTACCCTACCTGTCACGGACACAACTGGTGGGGTGCTTCAGAACTTAATATTCATACTTTTTTTTTGTTTGGGATAAAAATTGATAAGTTCAATGTTTCAAGAAGTAACTTGCTTTTAAACATATGAGTAATGAATCAAATCAGACACTTGAGCTGCACTGCTACAAATTGACGTTCATGCCTTTAAATTACAAAAATAAATAAAGCCCAGCATTGTTATCTTGTAAAAACTGCTACAAAAATCTGTTCGGTTAGGAGTATGTTTATCAATTAAGTGTAACCAAATGCTTCCGTCATCAGTATTTCTCAGTTTTTTTACCCATGATATTTGAAGCCTGCACTGCAGCATGGAGCTTCACCTGGAAAGCAGGTTATCATGAGCCATTAGATTTATTGATGGTTTACTTGGAAGACTGGGAGCAAAATGCCAAAGTACTCATATGTACTTTTACAAGCGTTTACTATTTGGTAGCACTTTGAACAAAACAAATCTAGTATGTAGGTGCAATACATAATCAAGAAGGCTAATGGGATGCCCTGCTTTATGATGAGAGGAATGGAACATGAAAAGAAAGATGCTACGCTTCAATTATACAGGACATTGGTGAAACCGCAAACTATGTGGAGCTTTGGCCTTCCTATTTAAGGAAGGTTTACTAGATTGATACTTGGAACAAGTATGTTGCCATATAAAGACAGTTTGGATAGCCTGAGCTTGATTCCACTGGAGATTAGAAGACTTGGGGTTGACGTGATCGAAGTGTATGGGATCCTGAATGGTCTTGACAAGGTGACACGGAAAGGAAGTTTCCTTTTGCATGTAAGACCCAGGCTAGGTGACATTGTTTTACAATTAAGGGTTGCCCTTTCAGGACAGAGATGAGGACACACTCCTTCTCTCAAAGTTGTTCAGCTTTGGAACTGTCTACCTTGGAAGGTGATGGAGGCAGGGTCATTGAATATTCTTAAGACCAAGGTGGAGAGATTTCTGTTCAGCAGGGATTCAAGGGTTATTGGTGTAGATGGGAATGTTGAATTTGAAGCAAAAACAGGTCAGCATTGATTGTTTTGAGTGGTGGAATAGGCTGAGAAGGCCAATGGGTCTACTTCTGTTCTTACTTCACATGTTCATATTTTAAAAACATGAAGAGGATTTGCAGCAGAGCAAAAGAGTGAGTAGCAAACCTTTGCTGAATAGCTTGAAGACTTAATTAAGATCTTATAGGTAAGCTTGAATAAGTTTGAGGTAGCTAATAGTTCAGGTACTAAAGTAAAGTAGATGAATGTGCAGGTGACTTTTTCTTTCAGGCTGGAAGATGAGCTAAAAACATAAGACTGGAGAAAGCTGCAGAGGATAAGACTGTACAGCAATTTGTAAACCATGATCATTCCAAACACTGGAACATAAAGACCCCATGATGGCCAGTGAGGATGGGATTGATAAACAGATTAGCAGAAAAGGTGGAGTCACTTTGACATAAGTGAGCGTTAAGAGAGTAGGTAGATTCAGTTGAAAACTTGTGCCAGAGATTTTGGCAAGTGCAGAGTACAATAACTTAAATCTTCTCAATGTTCAGTTCGAGGAAACTTTGTATTAATATCAGACAACTTTAGGGAGGACATCAATGCTGGTGTGTAATACATTCATTGAGATCATATAAAGTAAGAGAAGCTTTGTTATGAAAGGAGATTAGAAATAGGAACAAGAGCAGACTGTTCAATTCCTTGATCCTTGACTAATAAAAATCTTCTCAATCTCTATATTGAAATGTTCAATTGACCTAATTTCAGCAGCTTATGAAGGAGAGTGTTTCAGAGTTTCACTGGTCCTTTAAGTGAAGACGTGTTATCTGACATCAGCCTTAAAGGACCTAGCTCTAATTTTAGGTTGTACACTCTCCCATTAGAGGAAACAGTTTCTCACTATTTACCCTACTAAATGTGCAATCATCTTAAATGTTCAATTAAATAACCCCCTTAATCTTTGATATTCAAAGATTAGCCTAATCTATGCAACCTATTCTCATAATTTAACCTTTTACAGTTCCAATACAGAAACTAGGCCTTTTGCCAATGAAATAAAAAAAGTTTTAGAGGTGAGCTCATTGGTTCATGGCAATTCAGAAGTTTTAATGTATTAAATTTGGTAAAACTAACTGTTTATGAATCAGTCATTAAATAACCATGGTGAGAGGGGAAAGATTTAAATGGGATCTAAGGGGCAACATTTTCATGCAAAAGGTGGTACATGTATGGGATGAGCTGGCAGAGGGAGGTTTAGAAAAATAATTCCAGTCTCTTAGAAGAACTGAATTCAAAATCATGCTTAAAATGGAAGTCAACAGTTATTTTGAAGAAACAGATGGATGAAAAATAAGGGAAATGCTTAAGTTAATAGTTCTATCAGGAGGCCAGGCTGAGTCACATATTCCAAGCAACTTTCTCAAAAGCTGCAGATCTTTATGGCTGAGAGACTTGGGCATGCTCCATTACCTGGATGAAATTTTGAAAGTTCAAGTTATTGGATCTATGTAATATTATATTTTTCATTTTTTACTTCAAAATAACTTAGAGAATGTGTATAACAAGTAAACAGCATTTTAGCAGGACACATTTGAATCGGGAACAAAAACAAAGTTGCTGGAAAAGCTCAGCAGGTCTGGCAGCATCTGTGAAGGAAAAAAAACAGAGTCTGGTAACCCTTCCTCAGAACTGACCTGAAACATTAACTCTGTTTCCTCAGAACTGACCTGAAACATTAACTCTGTTTTTTCCTTCACAGATGCTGCCAGACTTGCTAAGCTTTTCCAGCAACTTTGTTTTTGTTCCTGATTTACAGCATCTGCAGTTCTTTTGGTTCCCATTTGTATCAGATTGGCTCAGAACCATAGCAGTTGTTGAGTCCCCACGGCGTGGAAACAGGCATTTGGCCCAACAAGTCTGCACTGACTCTCTGAGCAGCATATCACCCAGACTCACCCCCACCCATTGCAACTATTTTCCATAGTTAATGTACCCAATTACACATCCCTGGACACTGTGGAATTTAGCATGGCCAATCCACCTAACCTGTATATATTTGGATGGCGGGAGGAAACCACATCACCCAGAGGAAACCCACACAGACATGGCTAGAAGTTGGAAACACCACACAGACAGTTGTCCGAGGCTGGAATTGAACCTGGGTCCCTGGTGCTGTGAGGCAGCTGTGCTAACCACTGAGCCACCATGCCACTCAGTCTCTGACCATTACAACGTATTTATAACTTATATACTCCAAAAGGGGAATAAGGATAAACAAATAGTGTAATTAAATATAAGCACAGAATCCCATGACAATTAAAATCACACATGGTTATCATCAGAATAGAGAATTGGGACTGAACAGACATGTTTTAAGTTGGCTCCCCTGGCTTCATATGCAGGGCTTAACCATTGAAATCATTGCTGTCTTCTTTGTAGGTTTCAGTATGGAACTTGTCTCTTTAGCAGGCAATAAAGACACCTATTAGAAAGCGATGTGATCCATTTGTGACTTGGAGGAGCACATCTGCTTCCTCCAGCCCACTAAGTAAAGCCACAGCCCCATCCCCACTCCAGCAAACTCAGGTTAAAATGACAAATGGTTACCCAGTTGGTCATGATCTACATATTTAAAGAAGAAATCCACTGGCTGCAGATGGAAGAGTGTGGCATCTGCAAAAGGAGCAGAAGGGCTGGTGGGTAATTCTCCCACTCACTTCTTAACTGCTCTCCCTCCCTAGTCTTTCGCAACAGAACCACGAGTGATGGAGTCTGCTGTTTTGTTATTGTGTCCAGTGTCGTTTGGTACCAAAAAGCAAAAATTCCTAAGGATGAGATTTAGCATCATTTTCCTCCTTCTAACTTTTCACTCCCACCCCTCATAGCCTATTAACCTCCTTCACACACAGAAGTTGATTTCCACGAAGGAATAGCGTAATTCGAATTTCGCTCTGACCATCCTGGGCATAAAGATTTGCAGGTTTTGAGAGAGCTGCTTGGAATATGGGTCTCAGCCTGCTTCATGATAGAACTATTCATTTAAGTTTTTCCTTTAATTTCATCCATCTTTTTTCAAAGCTTTGTTGACTTCCATTTTAAACACAGTTTTGTATTCAGTATTTTCTAAGAGACTGGAATTATTGTTCTAAACCCCTCCCCCTTTGTTCTTTCAGCCACGATTTTAATTGTTTTTTTACTGATTAATTCATAAATAGTTGAAGTTAGTTTTACCCAATTTAGTTCATGAAAACTTGTGAATTGCCAGAAATTGAACTCGCTGAGTAGCTACTGCTGAAGTAAGCTTCAGTCCAAGAGTTCTTGTCCCTTGAATGTGAAATTCTGGAACCTGACAGTGACGGGGCGTGAGCACATCAATCCTTACCCGGTCTGTGAAATGTGAAAAGAACGTCTGATAATCGAGTGGGACTGTCCGAAGGTGTCTCGCTTGGCCTGACATGTACAGGCAGTATGATTGATGAAGCTAATCATGACTAGCTTGGAGAATCCAACTCGTGGTAGTGTGATTTCGAACAACTAGAAGAATAAAACACAAACTGTTTCTACAATGATGAAACCAATTTTAATACAGAAAACAGCTGATAAAGTAGTACAAAGAATTTAGCAAAACAACTGCATTTGCACTGATAAAGGGAAGGCATTTGCTGTAAATTTCTCTGGGCAAGTTCCATACAAACATGATCTTTGTGCTGATCTGCAATTTTCTCTTTGTCCCTTGACCTTTCCCACGTTCCTGACATATCTTTCTTTGCCCACAGTTTTCTTTCTAACTCACAATTTGTATCGGTGAATTTTCATTTAAAAAAAAAATCAACTGAACATTTGCATTGCACTTTTCATGATCATAGATAATTTGCAATTTTTAAGTGTAGTCGTTATTGTAATGTGGAAAAAATGTCTCCTTTTTGCATCTCTTTGCTTCAATCACCAACTCTTGTGTCTTTCTATGTTACTGTGCTTCCTTGATTACTTTCATTCGTTTACCTTATCTCTAGCTTTCTTTCAATTTCCTCATTGTATCTCTAATATTGATCCCTACCACAGTGTTAGACATGTGGAGGTGCCAGTGTTGGACTGGGGTGGACAAGGTCAGAAATCACACGACACCAGAGTTAATGTTTCGGGTCTGGTGACCCTTCCTCAGAACTGTTCTGAGTTCCAAGGAAGGGTCACCGGACCCGAAACGTTAACTCTGCTTTTTCCTTCACAGATGCTGCCAGACCGGCTGAGCTTTTCAAGCAACATTGTTTTTGTTCCTGCTTTACAGCATCCGCAGTTCTTTTGGTTTTTATTACTGTCCAACAGGTTCATTTGAAATCACAAGCTTTTGAAGGGCTGCTCCTTCAACTGGCTACCTGACGAACAAGCAGCACTCTGAAAGCTTGTGATTTCAAATGAACCTGTTGGACTATAACCTGGTGTCGTGTAACTTCTGCCCTTGTCTACCACAGTGTGACATTTGCATTGCTATTCAGCAATAAGTCTGAGTTACATCTGTCCCATATCTCTTTCATTCCTATATTTATGTGCGTTTGTCTATTTCATATATATATTTAAGCCATAGCCATTGCTTCCTCTCTGTTTCAATGTTTAGGGTTTTGAACATTTCACCAAGTTAAAAACGTCTGCTTCTCCTTCACAAACCGATCTCTCTCCTCCCTCATCTACCTTCCAATATCTCAATCTCTGTCCTGTCAAGAGCAACATTGTAAATGCAGGTTGAGCACATTGGGAAAGGCTGAAAACCACATTGTACATCCAGCATTGGTTGAGTGAGAAGGCTATCAGCAACTCATTCATGGAACCTGGATGTTGGTAGCCAGGCCAGCATTTATTGTCCATTCCTAATTCACCTGGAAAAGGTAATGGTGAGCTGCCTTATTCAACCGCCACAAATCTTGAGGTGCAGTAACACCGCAGTGCCGTTAGGTAGGGAGTTTGAGGATCTTGAACTAGCAACAGTGAAGAAATAGAATGCTGTTCCAATTCAGATGGTGTGTAGCTTGTGGGGGTGCTTGAACATAAGAACTAGGAGCAGGAATAGGCCACCTGGCCCTTCGAGCCTGCTCCGCCATTCAATAAGATCATGGCTGAACTTTTCATGGCCTCAGTTTCACTTAGCCGCCCTCTAACCACAACTCTTAGTTCCTTTACTGTTCAAATAATTATCTATCTTGACTTTAAAAACATTCAATGAGGAAGCCTCAACTACTTCACTGGGCAGGGAATTCCACAGATTCACAATCCTTTGGGTGACGAAGTTCCTCCTCATTCAGCTGTAAATCTGCTCTCCCTTATTTTGAGGCTATGCCCTCTTGTTCTAGCTTCACCTACCAGAGGAAACAACCTCCTTGTTTTTATTGTATCTATTCCCTTCAAAATTTTATATGTTTCTATAAGTTTCCTCCATCGCTCTTCTAAATTCCAATGAACATAGAACATAGAACACAGAACACAGAACAGTACAGCACAGTACAGGCCCTTCGGCCCACGATGTTGTGCCGAACTTTTACCCTAATCCTAAGGTCTATCTAACCTCCACCCCTACCTTATACTATCATCTATATGCCTATCTAATAGCCACTTAAATGCCCCTAATGAGGCCGACTCCACTACCCTCTCTGGCAATACATTCCACACCCCGACCACTCTCTGAGTAAAGAACCTACCTCTGACCTCTCCCCTATATCTACCTCCACTCACTTTAAAACTATCCCCCCTCATAATAGCTACCTCCACCCTACGAAAAAGTCTCTGGCTGTCCACTCTATCTATACCTCTGATCATTTTGTACACCTCTATCAAGTCACCTCTCATTCTTCATCGTTCTAAAGAGAAAAGCCCTAGCTCTCTCAACCTTTCCTCATAAGACCTTCCCTCCGTTCCAGGCAACATCCTGGTAAATCTCCTCTGCACCTTTTCTAACACTTCCATATCTTTCCTGTAATGAGGCGACCAGAACTGAACACAATACTCCAGATGTGGCCGAACCAGGCATTTGTATAACTGGAGCATAACTTCACAGCTCTTGAACTCAATCCCTCTGTTAATGAAAGCTAACACACCATACACCTTCTCAACAACTCTATCCACCTGGATGGCAGCTTTCAGGGAACTGTGGACATGAACCCCAAGATCCCTTTGCTCCTCCACACTGCCAAGAATCTTTCCGTTAACCCTGTATTCTGCTTTCAAGTTTTTCTTTCCAAAATGAATCACCTCACACTTTTCAGGGTTAAACTCCATCTGCCACTTATCAGCCCAGCTCTGCATCCTAAGAATGTCCCTTTGTAACCGAGAACAGCCCTCTGCACTATCCACAATGCGACCCACCTTCATATCGTCCGCGAACTTACTAATCCACCCTTCCACTCCTTCATTCAAATCATTTACAAAAATCACAAATAGAAGAGGACCCAGAACAGATCCTTGTGGTACACTACTCGTAACTGAGCACCATGTTGAATATTTTCCATTCACTACCACCCTTTGTCTTCTAAGGGTCAGACAATTCTGAATCCAATCTGCCACATTTCCCCCTATCCCATGCCTCCTTACCTTCTGCATGCTTACCATAGGGAACCTTATCAAACGCCTTACTTAAATCCACGTATACCACATCCACTGCTCTACCTTCATCCACGTGTTTGGTCACCTCTTCAAAGAGCTCAGTAAGGTTTGTCAGGCATGATCTACCCCTCACAAATCCATGCTGACTATCATGAATCAAACTGTGCCTTTCCAAGTGATCGTAAATCCTATTTCTCAGACCCCTTTCCATTAATTTGCCCACCACTGCCGTAAGACTAACTGGCCTGTAATTTCCGGCGTTATCCTTCTTCCCTTTACTGAACAAGGGAATGATGTTTGCCTCTCTCCAATCTTCCGGCACTATACCCGTGGAAAGTGAGGACGAAAAGATCATCACCAAAGGCCCAGTGATTTCTTCCCTCGCTTCCCATAGAATCCTTGGATAAATCCCATCAGGCCTGGGGGCCTTATCCATCTTCAACTTCCTCAAAATTCCTCGCACATCTTCCTTACTAACAGCGACCTCCTCTCGCCTACCAGCCTGTTTCAGACTGTCCTCCTCTACAACTAGGTCCCTCTCAGTTGTGAATACCGAAGAAAAGTATTCATTAAGGACCTCTCCTATCTCTTTAGGCTCTGTGCACAAATTCCCTTTACAATCCTTGATCGGCCCTACCCTTTCTCTGGTCATTCTCTTATTCCTCACGTATGTGTAAAAAGCCTTGGAGTTTTCCTTGATTCTATCTGCCAAGGTTTTCTCATGCCCCCTTATAGCTCTCCTAAGCCCTTTCTTCAGCTCCTTCCTGGCTAACTTGTATCCCTCTAGAGCCTTTTCTGTTCCTTGTTTCCTAACCCTTACATAAGCATCCTTCTTCCTCTTAACCAGTCATTTGACCTCTCTTGAGAACCAAGGCTCCCTCACTCGACCGCATCTTCCCTGCCTGCTAGGGACAAACATATCGAGCACACGCAGTATGCATTCCTTAAACAATCTCTACATTTCAATAGCGCTCTTCCCTGACAGCATCTGTTCCCATTTTATGTTACCCAGTTCTTGCCTAACAGAATTGTTATTACCCTTCCCCCAATTATAAACCTTACCCTGCTGTATGTACCTATCCTTTTCCATGACTATTGTAAAAGCAACACAGTTATGATCGCTACCGCCAAAATGCTCTCCTACCAACAGGTCTAACACTTGGCCCGGTTCATTGCCAAGCACCAAATCCAAAGTGGCCTCTATCTACATACTGTGTCAGGAATTCTTCCTGAACACACTGGACAAAATCCGTTCCATCTAAACTATTACAACTAAAATGTTTCCAATCAATATTTGGAAAGTTGAAGTCACCCATGACTACAACCCTGTGACTTCTGCACCTTTCCAGTATCTGCTTCCCAATCCGCTCCTCCACTTCTCTGCAACTGTAAAAAAATCCCAACAAAGTGACTGCTCCTTTCTTGTTCCTGACCTCAACCCAAACTGACTCTGTAGACATATCATTTTCGAACTGCCTTTCAGTAGCTGCTATACTAGCCCTGACGAGCAATGCCACTCCCCTGCCTCTTTTTCCACCCTCCCTATTTCTTTTAAAGCATCTAAATCCCGGAACTACCAACAACCATTCCTGTCCCTGAGTTCCCCAAGTTTCTGTAATGGCCACAACATCGTAGTTCCAAGTACCGACCCATGCTCTAAGTTCATCCGCCTTATTTCTAATACTTCTAGCATTGAAGTATACACACCTCAAACCATCTCTGTGTCCGCAATTATGCTCCATCGACCGCATTTCTTTATTAACAACCTCACTCCCTGTTGTGTCTGTTGGAAGGCTGAATACTCATCCTCTGAATTACAAATCCAGTTCCCCACCGCCTGCCAATCTAGTTTAAACCATCCCGTATAGCTCAAGCAAACTTCCCTCCCAGGATATTTGTGCCCTTCCGGTTCAGGTGCAACCCGTCCATACTGTACAGGTCCCACC